CAGAGAGGGGCCTGGGGAGGGAGAGCGGGAGGTGAGGGCAGGGCTGCCGCCCCGCCCCAGAGGGAGCCAGGCCCCAGCTGGTCCCTGTGCCTGGCCGCCCCCCTCCGGGCCTCCGAGGACAGATGTGAGCCCCACATGGGTTCTAAGGCACGAGCCTGCGGTGGGCCCTCTGGAGGGGCGGGGTGAGCACGGGAGGTGGGGGGTGAAGACGGAGGGAGGGGCTGTGACAGTCATGGAAGGGACGCGGTCCAAGTCTACAGCGAGCCCCGTGCTCCCACCCAGGCCCTGCCCAGACCCCGCTGAGCCTGGGAAGCCCACGACAGTGACCCCAGTGCTGGGGCCTGTCCCTGCGTTCATGTCCCCGTGCCCACAGCGCCCCTGAGCCTCCGGGCAGGGCAACAGAGGAGTGTCTGCAGTGAGGACTTTGGGGGGCAGGGAGGTGGAGTCAAGATTACTTCACTTCTCTCAGCCTGTTCCCTCCTATTTCCCAGGGGACCAGGAAAGGCCTGAGGGGCCCCACGCCGACACTGACAGAGCACCTGCCCCTACGAGACACCCTGTGCGGACTCCCTGCTCCCAGGCCTCTCCCTGCAGAACCCCTGCGCATCACGTCGCATCGGCACAGACCCCGGGTCAGGACGCCCCGAGGGCTCGGCCTGCCGCTCCGGGGGGACACGCGTTTCTCACAGGAGCGCAGCCCCGCCCAGCCTCACCCTTGTCCAGGAGCTGGTTGAAGAGCAGGGTGCTGGAGAAGAAGAAGAGGTAGGCCAGCACCTGGGACACAATCTCGGGGTGCACCTGGGCCTGCCGCAGGAGGTCCAGCGCAGCCTGGTAGATGGACACGACGCGGCGCAGCTCCTCGGGCAGCTGGGGGGCCTGGCACCAGCTCTCCCGGGGCTCCGTCTGGAAAGGGGGGCACTCCAGCAGGGCCGGGAGGCAGACGTACAGGGACTGGGGGGAGAAGACACCAGCAACTTTGGCAGGGCCAGGGCACAGGCCTTGGGGGGCGGTGCGTGGGGTGTTCCCCGGGGTTCCCACAGAGCTGTCTGGGCCTCTGGGGGCTCAGTACAAGCTCCTGTGAAAGGTGCAGGTGACATCGACCCCGGGGCACAAAGGATCCAGCAAAGGGCCCACAGACGCCCTGAGCATCGAGGGGGAGGGGCCAGGGGAGGGTGGGTGCCAGTGAGGTGGGACACGCGGGCGGCTCCCCAGGCCCGGGCCCTGAGGAGGGAGCGGAGCGGAGCGGAGGCGCACCTTGGAGACGTAGTACACGCACTGCTGGAAGGCGTACAGGATCACCTCCTCCAGCTCCGCCATGGCCTCCTCGCTGGCCGAGAGCGCGCAGGAGAACACGGACTCCGTGGAGCCTGCGGACACGCGGCTCAGTTACCACAGGGGCTCCCCTCGCAGCCGGGCCTCCCAGGAGCACAG